ATTTTTCATGAAATTGGTTTTCCACATTTTCTTGGTTTTTGAGGAAAAACTTTTTCTATGGATTTGGTGGAAAAAAAATTTCTATGCAGTTTTTTTTCTTGCAATTGAAACAAATTATATTCCTAATTATAACAAATTATATCTCTTTAATGGACAATTTCCATGAAAAACAAAACCAAACGAACACTAAAAGATCCAAAATTTTAATATCTTTTAGGTGAAAAATTATACCAATAAAACAAGTTCTAGGCAATTCAATTTCCTAGAATTTATTTTCTTTTCACCCAAATTTCATTCTTGCAATCAAACGAACCCTTATTCTAAAAAATATTTGTTTGATTTTGAACTGTAATTTTTTATTCTTTTGCAATGGATTTAGCCGTTGTTTGGTTTGAATTAAAAAATAGATTTTAAGTAAATTTAGATAAAAGTTGATGAAACGCTTGATTAAAAAATAGTAAAAGTTGCGAGTCATATAAAATGCATGATTAAAAATAAGTTTGAAGAATTTGTTTTAAAAAAATGAGGGTCAAACGGGAGCTTAATTTCTTGTTCCTAGTGAAATTTTCTTATAAAGAAGAACTAGACGAAGATTTGTCCACGTGGGGAACCAAAGATAATACGAGCAATTAGATGTTTGGTTGTTTAATAAAAGAATAATGCTATCCAACACTAATTTATATGGACACAGTTGATATATTCAATTAAATGAATTATGTGACATTGCATTCAAATGACTCAATCATTTAATCTAAATTATTAATTGACATTAATGATGCCTAATAACATTACTTTTAACAAAATGTTGTCTATGAAAGACGTGACATTGGTCGAAATTGTAGGGTCGAACTTGAGAATTTTTGAACAACTATCTTATTTTTTAATGGTCTGTTCGATTGGTCGGAATTGTAGGGTCAAACAACATATCTTATTTTTTAATGGTCTGTTTGATTAGCACAAAACTTTATTAGATAAATCTTAAACCAAATCCGGTTTTGTTAGCCTGTTTGTCTAACTCTTATGACTTCCTTCATTTCTTTTTCATTTGACCAAACTAATAATTTGTCTCTGATGGTGTCTTGTCCGGTGGCGGTGGGTGTTTGGGATAATGTCCGGTCGGTCGGTCAGTCGGTCAGTCGGTTCACACTGCTTTTTCATTACAAAAACACACGTAATTACCTGAGAATATGCGTCTCGCGATTGGTTTCGGCGTTCCATTCCCATAGGAAACTCAAGGTATGAAATCCATGTAATGTAGATTTGTAGGAAACGGCGGTATCAATGTGTTTAGGATTTGTTGATAAAAATGACGTGACATCTTTTAATTAACTTAATAGGGTTTTTGTAAATGAAATGTAGTTTTTCAATGCTTATTGAGGTCAGGCTGAATTGGGTATGAGGTGGATGTTTGCTTAATATCTGACCTCTCTTGAAATTTTGCTTGTCTTTCTTGGGAGGGGAATGACCCCTTTTATAGGTGAGGCTCCTCTCTTGAAATTTTGCTTGTCTTTCTTGTGAAATCGGACTAGTTACCGGCCCCATGCTCATCTTCGAGGTGAATGCCACCACATGTCCTTTAGGTGTCGCGATTCTCTTCTGGGTATAACATGGTTGAATCTTTGTTTATGGTTTATTTGTTTACTTAAAGAAATTATAATTTTGTTATAAATCTGGAATTGCAATATAATTTGGAAATGCTGCACATAATATTGAGCACTGGGGAATATAAACCATCCAAGTAAAACGGCATTGTTTAAAGCCGAGTTAATTTCATTTCAAGTCCTTTTGCAACAAAATCTCATTTGAATAGCCCACTTTAATTTGTTACAAAATTATCTTGACTTTCAGTTTATGTCAATATTAGGCACTATGAAATCATTTATGTAAATTCACATTGATTAATAGACATTCAATAAAATCAACACTTCTTCTAAAGCATGAAAGAACCAAGCTGAACTGAACCAAACCAATTGATTTTGGTCCAATTTGAATCCATTACTCAAATAGTGTAAACTGGTAAAGCCGAAGATAATAAACTTAATTTCTTTTTGAAAGTCCAAGCAGAAAAGAAAAAGTAGAGAACAAAGAAAGAATTGCCTATACACCAATCTAAGTTGGGCTAGAAGACTAATAAACACACGATAAAAAGGATTCACCACCACTTTTGATTTACATTCGTAAAGATACCTGTATTTCCTAGTAAGAATATAGCAACCACAATGAGGCAAGTCAAAATTAGCCACATCCAATGCTTCCACTTTTTCTTGCTTCGATTGCAAACAATTGATGGAGGGATATTATATTTCGTCTTGCTTATTTTTGGAGGCCTTTTGGTAGTTGCTGTTGCAAAATTTGTCTCATTTATCTGATCTGTCTCCTTCAAATTTTCCATTAGGCTTTCAGAGCTTTCCACAGTTTCACAAACATTCGTGTTCTTATTGACTTCACTTGCAGCAGCAGAAGCACCCTTCTTTTTTTCCTTCTTTCTCAACCTCTTCTCCCTCTCCTGCACAAACACGTTCATTGATCATGTAGTACCATCATGATATTTTCACAGATGTAAAAATGGAACCGCGCATTACAGAAGAAGAAAACTCACCTTTTCTTTCCGTTCGGCTTCCTTCTGTGCTCGTAATTCATCTCTCCTTTGTGCCTTCTCTACATTTCTCTTTTTCTTCTCAAGTGCCAACTTAGCCTTTGCTATTTCCTCCAGCCTAAGTTGGTTTTTTGACTTGGGTTCAGCATCGTCCCTCAGTTCCTCCTCCACCTTCCTCTCCAGCTCCACCTCTTCCTTTGATTTTATGGCTTTCTTCTCTATCTCATTAATCACATCATCGCGAGAAACAGTTGCTGAAGCATTCCGCAATACAGGTTTAGCAGGTTCCTTATTTGTCGCTGTACAATTCTTGGGTTCTGATAATTCCAGAGTTGAACTTTGTACCGAACCAGCCTTTGCTAGTGTTAAACCCAGTTGACCAACTCTTTCATCCACATAACCTGGAAGAATAGGTGGCACCTCGTCAGAGCCTAGTGAACGGCCATCCAGAGTTTTAAATCTTGTTAGAGTACTCCTTGCATTCTGCTTCACATATTCATTCCGGAACTCATCATTTGTGTTCCAGAGTTCCATTATTTTTTCCACCTAAACAATCCGCACAAATATACAGAGTTACAGGCTGCATTTTGTGTCAAAGACAGCCAAAAGAAGCAAAAAGTTAACCTGATTTATGCAAAGCCGATGAAGTCCCTCTCTGTCTTTTTTAAATGCACAATCCCTTGCTGCAGCTGCATCACTGATGTACATGCGGAAATGTGTGTTCTGCAATTAAAAGTGAATTTAAAGCCAAATAAGCTTTGATTTTGTTTCTCTAATTCAGCCATTGTTTGAGCCAATTTTTTAAAAACTTATTTTCCCAAACTCAATTTTAACCACACATTTCCCAATAAAATAATTTTGCATGTAAACCTAAATTTTTTCTTACATTCTAACTAAACATTATCCAAACAATCACTATTACAAAGCTCATTTTCACAACAAAATAGGCTTAATGTGTTTCCCCTCATTTCAGGTGGAAATTTTTCTGCTCTCTTTCTAGTGCAAATCTAATTTCATGCATTTTAATGTTTCCACGAATTCTCTTAGTAACTTATAAAGAACCAGCATCCATAATAATTTTGTGGTTTAATAAAAGAATAATGCTATCCAACACCAATCTATAAGGACACAGTTGATATGTTTAATTAAATGAATTATGTGATATTGCATTCAAATGACTCAAACATTTAATGTCATGCAGTTGCCAACTAAATTGGTTCAATCATCCCTCTGATGAAAATATTCACAAAGAGCGAAGCCAAAAATGATCAGAAATGTTCAGGACATGAAAGCGGAGCAAAGTTGTTCTGATGAATGGAATGCTTAGCCAGGTTTTTCTTAACATTGCTTCATTAAATCCATGAAGTCACACAACCAAATAATTGTTCCTTAGAAAATAAAAAGTTGCAACACTTTACTGGATTTCTGTGGAAGGAGATTTTACCATTGTCTTCTGGATTTCGAGTTGAATAACCTTCCTGAGCCTAGTCTTCTCATCAACTTCTAGCTGAGCATGTTTTATCTGTTCTTGCAGTTTCCCATCATTAAACTTTGGAATCTTAATAAGAAAGAATGGCCTTGTTGCAGCCTCAATGCTCACGTTTTCTCCAGCAACCATGACATCAGTAGAACCTTTTGGAGAAGCTGTTGAAATTCCCTTCTCTGATCCTGATCTTGCATCATTGGTGGTGCAACCTAGAATGATGTTGTCAACAACTGGATCGTTCTCCACAATTTTTAATTTTGGATTATCACTAGATGAAGTAGAAACCTCTTCAGTTCTTTTAGCGTCAGAAATTTCAATTTCAGGTTGAGGATCATGAGCCTCAGAGGAAACATCAATCCAAGATTCAGATTTCACAGCTTTAGGGAATTCTTCAGAGCAATCAGGATGTTCAACAAGTCCTTTAATACGTGGATCACCATCTTCAGCATGAGATAGCGGGAATTTTTCTTTAATTCCTTTAAAAACAGGGTCATGAACAATTTTTGTTTCCCTCAGAGTTCTCACAATATCAGCCCAGCTCCTCGAAAACGATGTTCGATTCTCTGCCTTATGTCCATGTTTTATGCTATATTCAATATTACCATCAAGAGTGACGCCAGACTTCTGATTTTCCACCACATCTGATTCTAATTCTGTCTCTCTCTTTTCCTCATTAATAAGTGGCCAGGATTTGGGATCCAAATGCAGGGAAGTGGTAACGGGGACTTGACATTCTGATGTTTCCACTAATTCTTCAGCTAACTCCTCAATCTTGTCCTCTGAGCTCACCTCCCCAACCTCAATTTTTTGGGATTCACATTCAACAGCCTCTGAAACCACATCAATAGATCCGGTGTCAACTTTCGACTTAGTAGATGATGCTAACTCTAGATTATGATCCACACATTTGTCATCAGAATCTTCACATTCAACAGCTTCTGTAACCACATCGAGAGATGATGCTAATTTTAGATTATAACCCGCGCATTTTCCATTAGCATCACCAGACACAATAATGTCTGACGACAAATTATTTAATTCCACATTCTCTCCAAACTGTGTAACCAACCCCATAACCCTAGCTTGAGATTCCTGATTCTCAATGGAACTAGAAAAGGACTCCGATTCTGTCCGATCCTCAACTTTCTCTATTTCAGTTTTGGCTTCGACCAAACTTTCAGTTTTTCCATTTTGATCCTGCACCTGTTGTATGCCATCTCCTGCATTGCTTTCTGTTTTTCCAGTTTGGTCATGAACCTGCTTTATTTCAACTGCTGCCCCATTCTCAGTTTTTCCAACTTGCTCGTCCATAGTATCATCAGCAGCACCTTGAACCCCATCCCCAAGGGAATTCTGTTGAACTTGGTGAGTGTCATTTTTCACCGGGAGAATCCCATTAGTCCCATTTGTAACTTCATGTCCCTCATCCCCAAGGGAATTCAGTTGATCTTGGCGGATGCCATTTCCCTCCGGCAAAATCTCATTAGTCCCTTCCACAGCATCATGTCCCTCATTCAACAATTCACTAATTTTCACACTTTTGGGATCCAATTCTCCGTTTTGAGCATCAAATTCCACAGCTTGAACCTGGACGAGATCGGAATCACTTAAAACACTTGAATCCAACTCAACAACATCCTTATTAACTACAAGATCCTCACTCAAACCACTGTCTCCATTCACGAAAGCATTCAAATTATCAGGGTTATTCTGGTGATTATGGTGGCCGATCCCGTCAGAATCAGGCTTGGGTTGATCATTCTGGTAAGAGCTAGGTTGTGTAACCAACTCAGACGACGCCTTACAAACCCCATTTGCAGCCGTCATTCTTTGAATTTCAAACGGTGGATGAAATAGAACTATCTACAACAACGAAATTCATTCAAATACGAATATATATTAACAATAGCAAATATATGCATACATGCAAAGTTCTAACAGAGATTCAAGTCGATTGCAATAGCAAAAATTAAAATAATTGACAAAGGAACGGAATTAAAAAGCATGCATGAATGACAAAATAAAATTACAGAGAAATTGTCTTACATCAAATCGTATGTTCGGTAGAGCAAATAGGAATCAACACATTGGAAGAAGAATGGAGAGAGAGAAAGAGAGAGAGAGAGAGAGAGAGGAAATGTGTCCTACTTGAACTCAAATTACTCAACCTCTGTAGTGTTCTATCTTTCTCAACTTTTTTTTTTTTTTGTTTCCCCAAAAATCCGTACGATATCGACTTAAAAAGGTAGTGTTAAAGGTCGAATAAAAATAAATTTTTGACTTAATACGAATAGACAAATATTGAGGGCTCGTTTGATTCGCATTGTTGTAGAATGAGAATGAAAAAATAGTCGTTATTGGGCCCACACAAGAGATAAAAATTCAAAATTGATGGCTTGATGTGATGAATAACGGTCATATGTTTCATTTTTATAGATAAAAATGAGAAACAAACGAGAGCTAAATTTGGATAAATAAAGTGATTCTAAAGAGTTTTAAATTATATCTCTACTCGATTTCGAACGAGTTATTGATTCTTCTAATTGAACATATAAGAATTTGTATAATTTTTGTTTATTTTTATTTGTGGATCTATTTATCTACTTTATCTAATAGGGCACTCAATCAATCTCTAATCGATATCAATTTTTTTCTTAACATCTTTGGTAGAATGTACAAATCAAGTTTCTATAATCAGTAAGTTTGCTCAATTGTCATCAGCTTTGACTTCGAATGTAAGAAAATAACATAAAAAATAATGGACATGTTCTAGATTCAATTCACAACTCCTAATACTGATTGAACTCTAAACATAAATATTACTCGTCTACGACGTAATAAACTTTTAAACGACATAGTTCAACAAACACTATATCATACACAAACCCCAATAATAAGGAACTGTATATAGACAACAATCATTCGTATTAATTGACATTTTGTATGATTTTCTAATAAAGTCTTTATGAAAATGTTTACATTTAGGGCCTGTTTGATTGCTCTTTTTTTTTTTTCATGGAATATAGAAATTAAAATTCATTCAACATTTTTGCATGTTTGATTGACTAAAATTTCCATGGAATTGATTTTCCACATTTTCTATGTTTTTGAGGAAAAGTTTTTCCATGGGTTTGGCTGGAAAAGCTTTTCTATGCAACTTTTTTTTTTAATTTTTAATTTTTTTTTTACAACGAAAATAAATTCTATCCTCAATTGTAANTGAAAATCAATTCCCACCAATTTGGTGGGATTTGGTTTTCCTGTTTACTTTTTTTTTTTTTTAATTTGTAATGAAAACAAATTATATCCCCAATTGTAACAAATTTTATCCCTTTAATGGACAATTTCAATGAAAAACAAAGTCAAACGAATACCAAAAGATCCAAAATTTCAATATTTTTTAGGTGAAAAATTATATTAATCAAACACAATTAATTGACAATTCCCAACAAAACAAGTTTTAGACAATTCAATTCCCTGAAATTTATTTTCTTTCTACCCAAATTCAATTCTTGCAATCAAACGGACCCTTACATTTCTTGGAAAAGGTAAATAAACCACAAAAGCATTTCCTCTTCTGTTAATGGAAAGCTTTCTTTCTTGAAACTATTGAAGATGAAAGTACTAATACAAAATTATAGTGTCAACATGTAATAAAATTATAGTTTCGTGGAAGATTAAGAACTCCATGAAAAGTACTCACTCAGAGAGAGATTATATTTTTCAACTCCACATTGTATCAGGATTAAGAATCCAATCTTTCATATTTTATTGCCATACGAGATCAAATTGGTATGGAATAGTGTCAAATCCTGGAAAAACCCTCCCCCACTCCGAGCATAAGATGGGGTAGGGTGGAAATGTAGGGGAGGTGAATCGAAGAAGAATGTCTTTTTATAATAACTTTTCATAAACGAATTTCACGTCATTGACATGGGATAGTTCAGACACTGAAAGTTTACCAACATAACCATGGGCGGATTTGGCAGTGGGCTACATTGGCTGTAGCCTAGTGTTGTCCAAGCCCAAATGCATTAAAAATAAAGGGAAATTGGTTGTAGTCTATTGTTGTTCCACTGTTCAAGCCCACTGTTGTAGCCCATTTGAAAACTCAATTGAAATAATTAATTCTCAAACCCTTTCACCCATATCTTTTCACGGTTTCACCTTTGGGTTATGCTACATGTACCGTATGGATTACACTTTTGTTTACTCGAGTTCATCCGCTCCCTCACATGGGGGTTGGGTCCCACGCATTTATTGGACATGGGACCCGACCCCCATGTGAGAGAGGGGGTGGGGTCGGGTAAATAAGAGTGTAATCCATATGGTACAAATAGCATAATTTTTCACCTTTAGCCTTCAAAATTTCACCTGCCCTTGCAAAGTGGAGACAACTGCCGTCCGCCGAACCTTTAGGACGGTTTCAGTATTTCACCACCCCTGGAGACGACTGTCGTCCGGGACCCTTCAGGTGCTTCAGTTTGCCCTTCACCACATTTTCAGTATTTTGAAAAATTCTGTCTCTGTGCTTCAGTCGGCCATTCACTCTTTAGGTACAAAAAAAAATCGATAAATCCATGGGTGTGATTGTGTGAATGAAATTTCAAATGTATTATGCATTATTTAGATTAGACTTCCTAGTTACTAGGTAATTTGGTAAATCCATTTGATTAAGGCTAATTGCTAAATAAGGTAGACTCTGACTCTGCCTAACCATGGGTAATGGGTGTGATTGTGTGAATGAAATTTCAAATGTATTATGCATTATTTAGATTAGACTTGCTAGTTGCTAAAATGCTAGGTAATTTGGTAAATCAATTTGATTCAGGCTAAATAAGGCAGAGTGACTTGCGGAGCAGAGACATATGAAGGAGAAGGACCGAAGGACAGAAATGTTAAGGGCAGATTAATATTAAGGACATTGGACACATTAACTAATTAACATATATTTTTCTTTTTAACAATGTTTCTTTAATCAAGTTTGTTAAAATGTCTCTTAGTCTTAGAGTTTTTTGGTACACTATAATATATAATGGGGATTGTAGAATTATATTAAGGACATAAATTTGGGAAATGTTAGTTTTAGGATTTAGGAATTTATTTAGGAAATGTTAGCTTTTGGAATTTAGCCATGTTAAATTTTGAAAATGAGAGCTCTGTGCTTATTACATATGATATAATGATAGGAATTCATAGGATATTGAAGTATTTTGATAT